GTACTGAACATCTTTCATTAAAAAGTTTTTATCTAGACATTATTTGTAGTAAATTTTCAAACATTAGTAACAAATGCTATTACATTTATTTACATAACATTACATATAATGCAAGCCACCGCTCTCTCTCTTTCTTTCTTTCTCTCTCTTAAAAATGAAAATATAAAGTATTTAATATTTGCCAATAAATTCAATCAATTTTTGGCCTTAAAATTATTTTTAAGTAAACAAATTGTCTGATCATATAATCTAATCAAAACTAAACTAATGTTTAATTTGTTTTAAAACATAAGAATTAATCAAATTATGATAGATTTCATGTAATATATATTTTAGATAATTACTCTTTTAATCATCAGTTTATGTTCACACAGTTTGCGACAAATAATAGTAATTTAACACTATTTTAAAAGTTGCTTTATTTTGCGAGTATAAGGGATACAAAAATAACAGTTAAACAATGGATCTGTCAATCACTTCATTGATCGTAAAAGATGTCCGCTTTCCCACGTCTTTGAGTGGCGACGGATCCGATGCTATGGTATTTCAAAAATGACAATTTATGTCATCTCAACATCTCATATAAATTATATAATTTACAATTATTATACAATTATGTTGACCCGCATTGACAGCACACGGATCCGGATTACTCGTGCGCTTATGTCATACTGAAGACCCAGAGGAATGGCCTCGAAGGCCATGGATTGACGTTCACTATTGGTAAAGGCACAGAAGTTGGTAAGTATTAACTCACCCTGGCTCCATTGTTTATTTAATTAACCAGTGAATATGATAATAAATTAAAAATTATTTAACAACATTAAAATCATTGAATAAAATACGACCATGTTTTCAAATTTAACCCTATTTAGTTGTCAAAGCTGTTGAGTGTCTCAAGCCTTTAGTTGTGGGCAAAGTATTGGGTGATATATACGACAACTTCGGCCGCTTTTGGACAACACTCGCCTGCGATAGTCAGCGCCGTTGGATTGGTCCGGAAAAAGGGGCCATTCATATGGCCACCGGCGCTCTCGTCAACGCCTTATGGGACCTCTGGTGCAAGATTGTGGGCAAACCCCTGTGGAAACACCTTGTTGACATGGAGCCAGAAAAGCTGGTCTCTTGCATTGATTTCAGATACATGTATGATAATTAACACTTACATTATATTCACGAATTTGATTACATTCATGAAATTTGGTCATTCATTAGTACCGATGTGTTGACCAAAGAGGAGGCCATAGATATATTAAAACGGAATCGACCGCTCATTAAGGAACGGGGTATTAAAAGCGGTATCAAAACTAATTGAAAATATAATTAAATGTATTTTTACACAAAACAGAGGCAACATTGTTGAGGGAAGGCTTTCCAGCTTACACTACAGAGTACAGAGACTTTTTTCCTAATTGAATGATGGTAATAAAGGTTTTAATAGACAATTTGGTGGCCTCTGTATTATAGGGTGGGTTGGGTCGGGTATGACGAGCAGAAGCGGCGAGACCTGTGCCGGCAATTTATAGCCGACGGTTATACCAGATTTAAGGTATGATTTTGTGTATTCAACGTAACAAATAATGTTTGCAACGAGTTTTACATTAAGGCCAAAGTGGGCACCGGTATAGAGGAGGACCGGAAGAGGTATGAGTGGAGTGTTGGCAGCGATGATTAAAGTAATCATAATCTGTGTGAACACATCTCCCATATATAGACTGTCAATAATACGCGAAGAGATCGGCGCCGACAGCCTATTGATGGTCGACGCGAACCAGAGGTGGGACGTCGACGAAGCGATCGCATGGATGAAACAGTTGACTGACTT